GCCTAGGGAAGGCAAGTATGGGCACGCAGCCTGCTTCGGCCTGCAGCCAGGCTGCCTCCTGCCAGACTCCAGCCGGCAGATCTCAGTGGCTGCCATGGTGGCTAATTTCACCAAGCCCACTCCGGATGCACCTTCCCTGCTGCAGCACGATGAAGTGGAGACATACTTCCATGAATTCGGGCATGTCATGCACCAGCTGTGCTCTCAGGTGAGGCCTGGCTGGGCTGACAGAGGGGGTGATTTGTTTCCTTTCCCCCGTCCTGCTCTCCCGTGGGGGTTAAATGACATCCCACTCTCAGCTTGCTGTGTCTCCTAGGCGGAGTTTGCCATGTTCAGTGGGACACATGTGGAACGGGACTTCGTTGAGGCACCATCACAGATGCTGGAGAACTGGGTGTGGGAGAAGGAGCCACTGCTGCGCATGTCCAGGCACTACAAAACTGGAAGCCCCATCCCTGATGAGTTGCTGGAGAAGCTCATTAAATCCCGGCAGGCAAACACAGGTTGGTCCCTGCAGAGGGGCTGAGTTTACAAGGGCTCTGTCCTGTCCCCAGCAAGGGCAGAGCCTTGCTGTGGTGTCCCCTGAGTGTGGGGAGGAGGAGACCCTTAGTGAGCTGGCCAGGCAGAAGAAAAGCTTTGCTTTGCTCTCCATGGCGCTCTGGGGGCTGAGGGCATGAGCATCAGGTGCTGCTGAACCAGCATGGAGGAAAAAGGGGTCAGAAGTTGGGTATGAGGAGAACTATGGGAAGCCCCCAGCCTGAACTGCTGAGAGCCTGCCTTGGAGATGCTGCAGCCTGCAGGAAGCAGCTCGTTTTGCCTCTTCCTTCTGGAAACAGGGCTCTTCAACTTGCGTCAGATCGTGCTGGCCAAGGTGGACCAGGCGCTGCACACCCAGACGAAGGCTGACCCCGTGGAGGTGTTTGCTGGGCTATGTGAAGAGGTGCTGGGCGTCCCTGCTACCCCAGGTACACAAGGGCTTGGGGTCCCTCTCGCTGTCTCTCTAAGGCCTGGCCTGCAAGCTTGGCTCATCAGGTGGTTTTCAAGGCTGGGGCTTCAGGCTGGCTCAATAGGGACAGCTTCTGCTGGCTCCAGGAAAAGCAGGGCTGACACGATACAAAAATAACTGGAAAGTTCTTCCCTGTTTCCCCTGGGATTGTCAACGAGTGTCTGCTCTGACACAGCTCTGACACATATTTACACTATGGAGGGTGTTTTCCATGCTGTGAGCAATTCCAGTAGCCTTTCCTGTTGACTCCCCTTCCCATCCTTTGCACAAAGGTACAAACATGCCTGCTACATTTGGCCACCTGGCTGGAGGCTACGACGCCCAGTACTACGGCTACCTCTGGAGTGAAGTGTACTCCATGGATATGTTCCACACACGCTTCAAGCAGGAGGGGATCATGAACTGTAAGGTAGGAGGATATCCCACGCAGGCTCCCAGTGTGTGGCACGGGATGCTTCCCCTGCCAGAGGTGGAGGAAGGTGGCAGCATCAGCGGGTGTCTCTCTCTGCTTGCAGGTGGGCATGGATTACAGGAATTGCATCCTGCATCCTGGTGGTTCCCTGGATGCTTCCGACATGTTGAAGAAGTTCCTGGGCCGTGAGCCTAAGCAGGATGCCTTCCTGGCCAGCAAAGGACTGAAGGTAGAGAGCAACTCGCTGCCTTCAGCCTGCTGAGAAGCTGCTCCAGCCCGTTTTGAGTCAAGCCAGCTCCTTTTGTCTACACTCCAGTCCTCTCAGGCCAAGCAATACCCCCTACTTCTGTCACCAAATGCATCCTGGGGCAGCCCCTACCTGGAGCTGTTCCTCCAGGATCCTGCTCCAAGCTCACCCTGGCCTTCAGGAGCTAGGTTCAGCCCTGCAGAGCTGTCACAGGGCTCTCCGTGACAGCTCTGCCAAAGGAGCTGAACTGCCTCTGTCACACACACCTCCCCACAAAGGGGTTGGGGCTGTCATTAATCACACAAACTGGCTGAACTTTGAACCTGATTTCTGCACCAGGGTGAGTTTTGGCCTCATTTGTAGCCAGGGAGGAGGGTGAGAGCAGTTACCAAGCTTGAGTCATTGTTCTAAAATCCCTTCTTTTTAAGGAATGATACTTCCCATCAGGCTTGGCTTGTTTTGTGCCGTGGGGCAGACTTAACTGTTCTGAGCACCAAACAAGCAGTCTGAGAAGTTTTGTTGGGAGCCATGTTCTCCCTGTCTTAGGGCAGCTGTGGAATAAAGGTGGGCAGATCCCAGAGCTTGAAAACCATTGCATTTACTGGAATGTCCTGCCCTGAATCCCTCAGACACCCCTGCCTGGGCAGCAGGCCTGGGAGGGGTCAGGGGTGGCCAATGCAGCTATTCCCAGAGCAATAGTGGATCTGGGGAGCGTGGTCTGGGCCCTGCCCGCTGCCAGGCTTCCCCTGGGATATACTGGAGGTGCTGGAACCCTGCGCCAGGGGCCAGCTTCAGGGTATGTTGCTGTTGCTGTCCTCTCTGAGCCGGGGTGGGACAGGGCAGGGCTGTGTTTAAAGCTGACAGCTTCGAACAACACAGATGCCAGGATAAAAATACCGTGTGGCTTTGTGCCAGGCACCGAGCTGGGGGACAGCAGTGGCCCTTTGCCCGGCCTTGGGAGCAGCCAGGCTCTGCCCCCCACCCCGCCCTTC